GAAAGAAAGAGCGAGACGCTCCAGAGTCAAGAGTGAAGGTGTGGGAGGCCGAAGCCGACGCAGTACCTGAGAGCGCAGACGCACTAGTACCTGAGAGAGCAGTCTCACGAGTACCTGGGAGTACAGACGCACTGGCACCTAGAGCAGAAGCCTCACCGGTACCCGGAGCAGCAGTACCAATGCCCGGGTCGGGCGGGAAACACCGGTAACAGTCACCCTCCTCACTAGTGGTCACAGCATACATGGCAGCAAGGATAGCATCAAAATCAAGATCAAAGATAGCTACACCAGCCCTAGACAGCTCTCCCCAGCGGGGGATCTCCGCGGCCTCCGGGAACTGCTGACGCCAAGCGTCTGTCAGGCGGCCAAAGCAGCGCTGAGCGGGGTGGGCACCCCCACACTGCTCGCCAGTGCGGTCGCCAGTGCGGAGAACGTAGGTGCAGGGACCAAAACCCCCACCACGCTGACGCTGCGTGTACCACTCACGGAGCCGCTGGGGGGTGAGGACGTCGCGAGAACGGTGCTGCTGCTGCTGCTGCTACTGTTGGCGCTGACCGCCACCAGTGCCGCTCCGCTGCGAAGCCCCACTCCGACCACCTCCACCTCCGCCACCCCCGCCTCCGCCTCCACCGCCCCCCGCCCCCACCTCCACCGCCGCCACCTCCGCCACCTCCGCTACCACCGCCACCGCCGCCGCCACTCCCGCCGCCACCGCTGCCACTAGCACCCCCACCCCCACTACCACCTCCACCGCCACCCCCACTCCCTCCGCCGCCTCCACCCCCACCGCCACCGCCCCCACTGGCCCCACCCGCTCCCTTGCCCCCCTTGCCCTTGCCAGAGCGGCGTCTCCCGCTAGGGGCAGACGCCGCACCGACTGACTCAAGACCAACGAGTTCGGCCGCAGCGGCAGAGGCAACAGAGGGCAGGAGAGGGGAAGGAGAACACCCCTCAAAGATGGGGGCGCGGGGGTCACCTCGAGAGGCTCCTACAGCAACTATGCTCTTCTCTGCTGCAAGAAGGGCCTTCTCGAGGCTGTCGACGGTGAGGGTGGTGGGACAGACCGCAAGGAAGTGGTCCCGGACTACACGAAGGGAGTCAGGGAGGCGAGTAACTAGGAAGTAGAGAGTGATGTACATGGGGGGGGGGTTCTTGGCGCAGAAGTCAGCAGGAAGTGCAGCGCGGTAGCGAGTGTCACTAGTGCGGAGGTGCGTGATGAGATCAGCGACAGTGGGAAAGGCGGCAAGGTCAGGGAAGAGGAAGGGGAGCATGAGGCGGCTCAGTGCAGCAGTGGGAGGGGAGGAGTAGCGTGCAACTACAGCGTCGTACAAGGTCTGAGCACTCTTGTACTGACTAAAGTGCGCGCGCTCAGCGGTAGGCAGGTGGCGACGCACAGCAAGACGTGCAGCAGCATCGCGCGTGGCCCACTGAGAGCGAACAGTGGCGTCAGCATCAGCAGCAGGGGCAGGGACAGCGCCAGAGGTGAGGTCAAAGAGAGACAGACTGTCGGCCCTGTCGCACTGTAAAAACAGCTGCAGGTCGTCGAGCCAGACCTCAAAGTCAATGGCTCGACCCTCAGCGTCAAAAGTGAGGATAGTGGGTGTAGCCATGACGACGACAGTGGCGCAGTGCAAGCAATAGGGGAAGGGTACGAAGTGACAGCAGTGCAGTGCTCACCGGGTAGGGCAGGTCGGGCGGCTCAGGAGGAAGGTCGCCAGACGACACGGCCGCTAGGCTGCTGGGCGGCTCGGCTCCCGGGCGGCTCGGCTGCTGCTGGGCGGCTCGGCTGCTGTTGGGCGGCTCGGCTGCTACTGGGCGGTTCGGCTGCTCCTGGGCGGCTCGGCTGCTGCTGGGCGGCTCGGCTGCTGCTGGGCGGCTCGGCTGCTGCTGGGCGGCTCGGCTGCTGCTGGGCGGCTCGGCGGCGCGTCTGCTGCTGGGCGGCTCGGCTGCCGCTGGGCCGCGTAGGTAGGGCGGCCGGGCCGCGAAGGTAGGGCGGCGGGTGGGCCGCAGGTAGGGCGGCGGGGGGGGCCGCAGGTAGGGCGGTGGGACGGCCGCAGGTAGGTCGGCAGACGGCCGCAGGTAGGGCGGCGGGTAGGCCGCAGGTAGGGCGGCGGGAGGGTCGCAGGTAGGGCGGCGGGACGGCCGCAGGTAGGGCGGCATACGGCCGCAGGTAGGGCGGCGGGTAGGCCGCAGGTAGGGCGGCGGCACGGCCGCAGGTAGGGCGGCGGGACGGCCGCAGGTAGGGCGGCAGGTAGGTCGCAGGTAGGGTGACGGGACGGCCGCAGGTAGGGCGGCGGAACGGCCGCAGGTAGGGAAGCGGCGGGGCCGCGTCGAGGAGGCGGCGGGGCCGCGTCGAGGAGGCGGCGGGGCCGCGTCGAGAAGGCGGCAGGGTCGCGTCGAGGAGGCGGCGGGGCCGCGTCGAGGAGGCGGCGGGGCCGCGTGGGGAAGGGGGACACGGAGGGTCGCGAGAAAAAAGAACGCGCGCCTCGGGGCGCGCTTCGGTGGGCCCTAGAGAACAGTCCCTAGGATGGGACCTGCTCTGATTCCATGTGAAATTAGAAACGTGAATGAATTGACTACGAACGAGGTGAGTACAAATAGGAAACCCTAATTGGGTTGTACCCCCTATGGGATACCCCACTATAGCCTACACAAACAAGTAAGCTATAATGTTCTGACAGGGGCCGCGAGATCAGGGACGGCGGGGCCGTGAGATCAGGGGCGGCGGGGCCGGGAGCGCTGGGGCGGCGGGGCCGCGTATCAGGGGCGGCGGGGCCGGGAGCGCCGGGGCGACGGGGCCGCGTATCAGGGGCAGCGGGGCCGGAAGCGCTGGGGCGGCGGGGCCGCGAGATCAGGGGCGGCGGGGCCTTGAGCGCTGAGGCCGCGGGGCCGTGAGATCAGGGACAGCGGGGCCGCGAGCGCTTGGGCGGCGGGGCCGCGAGATCAGGGGCGGCGAGGGCCGCGCTTTCAGGGTCAGCGGGGCCGCGAGATCAGGGGCGACGGGGCCGCGAGATCAGGGGCGGCGGAGCCGCGTGAGGAAGGGCTGCGAGGGCCGCGAGAGCAGGGCGGCGAGGCCGCTAAGGCGGCGCGAGGGCGGGCAGCGGGGCGCGGGCGCTAAGGCGGCGCTCGGGCTGCTAGGGCGGGCGGCTCGCTAAGGCGGCGCTCGGGCCTTTAGGGCAGATCGAAAAAAAACAAGTAAGAGCAAGGGCCCGGAGCGCGCTCCGGGCAGAAAAAAAAAGGTTCGATGTGGTGGGCCCTAAGCACAGTTCCCACGGGGGAACCTGCTCGATACCATGAGAAAGTTAGAACGAGGATGGAATGACTATGAATGAAGTGAGTACAAATAGGAAACTCTAGTTGGGTTGTACCCCCTATGGGATACCCCACTATAGCCTACACAAATAAGTAAGCTATAATATTCTGACAAAAAATAGGGTTACCCTATTTCTCTGTCTTAAACTATCGCGACCCTGGGACAACGCCGAGCGACACTCTCTCCTCATTGGCTTTTGAGCAGAGTCGCAAAAAAGAACCGAACGTCGCCTAGGTTGGCCCACTGTTTGGCTCTCACATATCTTGAACACCTAGTCGTACTCATGAACTGCCTACTCCCTCACCTAAGTAGACAGCCTGTGCGCCTTGCACTAGTTTTAGGAGCCGCGATATTTACAGCAACTCCCAAGGCACACATGCTGTCTCGCCAATAGCTGGGCAGCAGGCGCCTAGAGTCACCCGCTATTTACATACGTTGTCGCGTTACTCACACGGAACGTGACACTCAAACGAGTGCTTCAGAATGCTACCCCACGTTTAGCGCACGTATTCACCCGCGCTCTCCCTCGCCACCTGCGCCCTCCCTCGTCACTCGCGCCGGCCCTCGTCACTCGCGCTTGCCCGGGATTCCGTGCTTCTGCTCGTCATCTGTTTCCCTTCGTCGCGCGCATTTCTGCCAGTCGTGCACGCGCCTTTGCGTCACGCTCGCTTCCCCTCGATGCGCCCTCTCCTCCCGCGCGTTTCCCCTCGATACCCGCTATCCTCCCACGCCTGTAACACGCGCTTCCTTTCGGCAGACGCCCTGCTCCCCTCGTCACGCGCTCAATCATTCAGTCGCGATCTTCCGTAGATCAATAGCTGAAGCCGACGTCACGCGCATGCGTCGTTGCCCCAGTTGTTGCTGCCTGGCCCTCGCCTCCTGTCGTCGCCTCCGCCACCCCAATTGGATGGCGTTTGTCGTAAGTGCCAACGCCTACCCACGTCGCCATGGACACCATCGTGTGTAGCATCTCCCTCATACGCCCTTACTCTGTAACACGAGCTTAAAGAGAAACGCCCTTAAAAGCATAGTAAAGACCCAGGCTTATAAATGAATGCCCACAAAAGGGTCACTTGTAGGCTTATAAAAACGCCAACAATAAAACACACAAGGTAAACTAGCTCCTAAGATAGCTTTGAGTCTTCTAGACTTGGTAGTTGAAGCTTGGAGAGTGATAGAGTAGCTTCCACCAAAGGGATAGTTGGAGCTTAGAGCACTTGTGAGGGAAAAGTTCTGTACTTGGAGAGAAATCCCATTTCCAAAATTGATCAATTGGAGTTGGGAATGAGAGAATGAGCCTTGGAGCTCCAAACCCCTTCCTCAATACCCCTTGGGGAGCTCCACCTCCTCGATGGCAACAAGGGCAAGGAGCTCCTTAAGGTGAGTTTGCTTAGGTGGCATGTTGGTTGGATTTGCAACCAATGAGAGCAACTTATTTGTGATAAGAATTGTCTGGTTACCTGTTGTGACTTGTAACAGCAGCATTGAAATGTTATTGGTTTGAATGTCCACCAACGCAAAGGTTGGGTTGGTTCCCAACCTTGTTTGTCTTTTAGTGGGTGGTGATTCACAATTGTGGACCAATCAACAATCATCCCTTCCAACCCTTTCTTCCTGTAAGTCGCTACCTTGCGTAGGTAGCGCTTTACAGAGCCTTAGCTAGAATACTCGCTACGGTAGGTAGGTGATGCGTTACATTCTCCGTCCAGCCGCAGGGTTTAGCCTACTGATGTGATGGGCAGAAAGGGAGGGACAGAGGGGGATGACCAGCTGAGGGGGGGATGGTGTCACATTGAAAGCCTTGATTGATGGGCGGTGGACAGGAAGGGAACGGGCTGGGGAGATGGGAAGGTCACAAGGATAAGGACAAGGGGGAGAGGGGGAAGGACAAAGGGGGAGAGACAGAGGGGCGAGGAACAGGGGGGAGGGCAGAGGGGGAGAGACAGAGGGGGAAGGACAGAGGTGGATAGACAGAGGGCGAAGGGACGAGAGGGAGAGACAGAATGGGAAGGATGGAGGGGGAAGGAGGGGGAAGGGTAGAGAGTGAGAGCCAGAGGTGAGAGCGGGTTTACCGCCCAATCTATTGTCCTTTGCCTCACCTGCTTCCCCCCTCCCTCCTCCCAGCTTCCCCCCTCCCTCCTCCCAGCTTCCCCCCTCCCTCCTCCCAGCTTCCCCCTCCCTCCTCCCAGCTTCCCCCCTCCCTCCTCCCAGCTTCCCCCCTCCCTCCTCCCAGCTTCCCCCCTCCCTCCTCCTAGCTTCCCCCCTCCCTCCTCCCAGCTTCCCCCCTCCCTCCTCCCAGCTTCCCCCCTCCCTCCTCCCAGCTTCCCCCCTCCCTCCTCCCAGCTTCCCCCCTCCCTCCTCCCTGCTTCCCCCCTCCCTCCTCCCTGCTTCCCCCCTCCCTCCTCCCTGCTTCCCCCCTCCCTTCCCCCTGCTTCCCCCCTCCCTCCTCCCTGCTTCCCCCCCCCCTCCGCCTTGCTTCCCCCCTCCCTCCGCCCTGCTTCCCCCCTCCCTAAGTCCTGCTTCCCCTCTCCCTCCGCCCTGCTTCCCCCCTCCCTCCTCCCTGCTTCCCCCTTGCCTACTCCCTGCTTCACCCCTCCCTCCTCCCTGCTGAACCCCCTGCCTACTCCCTGCTTCACCCCTCCCTCCTCCCTGCTTCCCCCCTCCCTTCCCCCTGCTTCTCCCCTCCCTCCTCCCTGCTTCTCCCCTCCCTCCTCCCTGCTTCACCCCTCCATCCTCCCTGCTTCCCCCCTCCCTCCGCCCTGCTTCCCCCCTGCCTACTCCCTGCTTCCCCCCTCCCTCCGCCCTGCTCCCCCCCTCCCTCCGCCCTGCTTCCCCCCTCCCTCCGCCCTGCTTCCCCCCTCCCTCCGCCCTGCTTCCCCCCTCCCTCCGCCCTGCTTCCCCCCTCCCTAAGTCCTGCTTCCCCTCTCCCTACGCCCTGCTTCCCCCCTCCCTCCTCCCTGCTTCACCCCTCCCTCCGCCCTTCTCCCCCCCTCCCTCCGCCCTGCTCCCCCCCTCCCTCCGCCCTGCTCCCCCCCTCCCTCATAGAGGTGAGCGTCACGCACCAGGTGACCCTTAGCTTTCCCCATATGCCACCCCTCTACCTCGATCTAACCATCTTCCTTGTCCCTCCCGATGTACCTCTCCAATCCCTCCCCATGTGCCTCTCCTCCCCCTTCCCATGTGCCTCTCCTCTCCCTCCCCATGTGCCTCTCCTCCCCCTCCCCATGTGCCTTTCCTCTTCATCCCACGCGCAACAAGGGGGCAGCACAACAGAGTTGGGAACAAGCTCATTTTCTATTCACCCCCTCTTCCTGCCTCCACCTGACTCCTTGCAGGGCTATTTGGCGTTCATTCACATCCGGAAGGAGGAGGGAGGGCGCAGGTGCAACTAGGGGGCAGCTCAGCAGACTTTGGAATGAGCTCGCGTTCCCCATGCCCCGTGCTCTCTCGACTTCCCTTCTTATTCCAGACCTATCTGGATTGCATTCACATTAGCAAGGAGAAGGGTGGGCGCACGCGCATGTTTATGCTTACGGAAGCATGAGGACCATAACTCCACACAGATGGCGACAGCACTGGTTGCTAAAGGGGTTGGCATGAGCATAGATTGTCACATGCTGGTTGAACAGAGGCATTTCATAAGGCTAACTCTATCCTCACTTCCAACTGCCTAAATTGTCTATGAATACTATAATATGTGCATGCGGTCATTCAATGTGTCGCTAAGCAGATTGTTACGAACGTAGATGCATCCTAGCATGACTAGGTTTAGGACAGAAAGGAAAAGACCACTAAACCCACTCAAGCATGGCATGTCAAAGACCACAGGTGCATCATGGGGAAGTAAACACAACCCATTCACTCATCCTGACCTGCCACCCATAGCTCCACTTCCTCCCCATCGTAACGGCCTTCTATCCACCACTCATCACCACTGTCGCTCCACTCCCCTGCATCTCTTATCATTGTGTTTGCCACTTCAACCTCCTGATCCGATGGGGTTTCATCCACATCCCTCTCACAGTGGCAACCTGCAATTAGCGCCAATGAGATGGGTGGTAAGCCAGATTTTAGGGCGGTGTGCCTGTCACGCTAAATAGTCTCGGGGACAACCATCTGGGCAGGGCAGGGCTGGGGCATGCTGGACCCGGGGGGGGGGGGGGGGGGGGGGGGGGGAAGGGCGGGGCGGTGCATGAGAGGGCAGGGCAGAGCTGCAAGGACAGGGCAGAGCCGCAAGGACACGTGACACAACTGCTGGAGAGCGGGAGAGGTGGGGGGTCAGGGGTAGGGGGCCAGGGGCAAGGTTTAGGGTATCTTAGGATAAAAAAGAAATTTGCAATTGCACGCCAAGCAACACACAACGGCTGTGTGCATGGTGGTGACAGCAGGCCCAAGGCACCACCAACATTGGTTGCTGCTGCCTTGGGACAGAGCAGGGGCGTACATGATGGTGACAGCAGGCCAAAGGCAGCAGCGACATTGGTTGCTGCTGACTTGGGACAGCACAGGTGCGTGCATGGTGGTGACAGCAGGCCCAAAGCATGCTTCCCAACATTGATTGCGCCCTGCCTTGGGACAACTCTGGTGCGTGCATGGAGGTGACACGTGAGCGTGATAGGACCCCCAAGGCACCAGCAACCTTTGTTAACCGTTTGCTGCTGCGTTTGCCTCGTGACATGTGAGCATGATAGGACCGCCAAGGCAGCAGCAAACCGTTGTTGATGGTTGCTGCTGCCTTTGCCTCGTGTCATGTGAGCGTGATAGGACCCCCAAGGCAGCAGCAACCTTTGTTGATGGTTGCTGCTGCCTTTTGCCTCGTGACATGTGAACGTGATAGGACCCCCAAGGCAGTAGCAACCCGATGTTGATGGTTGCTGCTGCCTTTGCCTTGTGACACGTGAGCGTGAAAGGACCCCCAAGGCAGCAGCAACCTTTGTTGACGGTTGCTGCTTCCTTTGCGGGGTGACATGTGAGCGTGATAGGACCCCCAAGGCAGCAGCGACCATTGTTGATGGTTGCTGCTGTCTTTGCCTCGTGACACGTGAGCGTGATAGGACCCCCAAGGCAGCAGCGACCATTGTTGATGGTTGCTGCTGTCTTTGCCTCATGACACGTGAGCGTGATAGGACCCCCAAGGCAGCAGCAACCGTTGTTGATGGTTGCTGCTGCCTTTGCCTCGTGACATGTGAGCGTGATAGGACCCCCAAGGCAGCAGCAACCGTTGTTGATGGTTGCTGCTGCCTTTGCCTCGTGACATGTGAGCGTGATAGGACCCCCAAGGCAGCAGCAACCGTTGTTGATGGTTGCTGCTGCCTTTGCCTCGTGACATGTGAGCGTGATATAACCCCCAAGGCAGCAGCAACCGTTGTTGATGGTTGCTGCTGCCTTTTGCCTCGTGACATGTGAACGTGATAGGACCCCTAAGGCAGCAGCATCCGTTGTTGATGGTTGCTGCTGCCTTTGCCTCGTGACACGTGAGCGTGATAGGACCCCCAAGGCAGCAGCAACCGTTGTTGATGGTTGCTGCTGCCTTTGCCTCGTGACATGTGAGCGTGATAGGACCCCCAAGGCAGCAGCAACCGTTGTTGATGGTTGCTGCTGCCTTTGCCTCGTGACATGTGCGCGTGATAGGACCCCCAAGGCAGCAGCAACCGTTGTTGATGGTTGCTGCTGCCTTTGCCTCGTGACACGTGAGCGTGATAGGACCCCCAAGGCAGCAGCAACCGTTGTTGATGGTTGCTGCTGCCTTTGCCTCGTGACACGTGAGCGTGATAGGACCCCCAAGGCAGCAGCAACCGTTGTTGATGGTTGCTGCTGCCTTTGCCTCGTGACATGTGAGCGTGATAGGACCCCCAAGGCAGCAGCAACCGTTGTTGATGGTTGCTGCTGCCTTTGCCTCGTGACACGTGAGCGTGATAGGACCTCCAAGGCAGCAGCAACCGTTGTTGATGGTTGCTGCTGCCTGTGCCTCGTGACATGTGAGCGTGATAGGACCCCCAAGGCAGCAGCAACCGTTGTTGATGGTTGCTGCTGCCTTTGCCTCGTGACATGTGAGCGTGATAGGACCCCCAAGGCAGCAGCAACCGTTGTTGATGGTTGCTGCTGCCTTGGCATCGTGACATGTGAGCGTGATAGGACCCCCAAGGCAGCAGCAACCGTTGTTGATGGTTGCTGCTGCCTTTGCCTCGTGACATGTGAGCGTGATAGGACCCCCAAGGCAGCAGCAACCGTTGTTGATGGTTGCTGCTGCCTTTGCCTCGTGACATGTGCGCGTGATAGGACCCCCAAGGCAGCAGCAACCGTTGTTGATGGTTGCTGCTGCCTTTGCCTCGTGACACGTGAGCGTGATAGGACCCCCAAGGCAGCAGCAACCGTTGTTGATGGTTGCTGCTGCCTTTGCCTCGTGACATGTGAGCGTGATAGGACCCCCAAGGCAGCAGCAACCGTTGTTGATGGTTGCTGCTGCCTTTGCCTCGTGACATGTGCGCGTGATAGGACCCCCAAGGCAGCAGCAACCGTTGTTGATGGTTGCTGCTGCCTTTGCCTCGTGACATGTGAGCGTGATAGGACCCCCAAGGCAGCAGCAACCGTTGTTGATGGTTGCTGCTGCCTTTGCCTCGTGACATGTGAGCGTGATAGGACCCCCAAGGCAGCAGCAACCGTTGTTGATGGTTGCTGCTGCCTTGGCATCGTGACATGTGAGCGTGATAGGACCCCCAAGGCAGCAGCAACCGTTGTTGATGGTTGCTGCTGCCTTTGCCTCGTGACACGTGAGCGTGATAGGACCCCCAAGGCAGCAGCAACCGTTGTTGATGGTTGCTGCTGCCTTGGCATCGTGACATGTGAGCGTGATAGGACCCCCAAGGCAGCAGCGACCATTGTCGCTGTACTATGGTCGATGTAGGCTAGAGCATACTAGTTTCGCTCCGTACACAGAGTCCTCACTTAGCAACCAGTACCAAAGCAATACATTCTACCCAGTTCACATTTGCTAGGTACGGTAAGGATGGTAGGTACGAGGTACCTCAAATATTGTGTAGGTGCATCAGAGGGACTACACATACACCCTGGACGGGAATACGAAGAACCTACTGCATGTTTCGCTACGCCAACAGCCTCGAAAACATTTTTGGGATGCAGGCAATTGGGCACTCACCTGGGCTCTCCTCTCTCGTGACCCGCAGGGGCGTGTGCCGCCCCTTGCTCCCCGTCAGTGCGCAGTATCCGCTTTAGTTGTGCGCGCGGTGGCCCAAGCCTGGTCACCTGGAGCGCTCGCTGCTCGTCGCCTGGAATGCGGGCTCCGCGTTGCCGGGAACGTGGGCTCCGCGTCGCGGGGAACGCGGGCTCCGCGTCGACTGGAAGGCGGGCTCCGATCCGCCTGAAATGCGGGATCCGCGTCGCGAGGAATGCGGGCTCAGCGTCGCGAGGAATGCGGGCTCCGCGTCGCACAGAACGCGAGCAGCTAAATGCGACGAGCGGGTGCTGCTCGGCGCTTGGTGCAAGAGCCCTATCACGTCCGCTTTCTTCCCCCTAGCTAGTAACAACGACTCCAATACACTACCGGTTTCTTGTTGTTCCTAGCTTCCCGTAGTCTCCAGTATGTCGTCACTTTTTTTTCTCGTAAGTACGATCGCGCTTGCACGTTCCTACACTTTGCTGTTGCGAGCTCCTGCGATGGTCGGTAAGCTAGTAATCTGGGCACAGCATCGTCCCGAACACGATTCTGTTGTGGCGTTGAGTAGGTGGCGTTGATACCCAGCACGTGCGCTGCTCTGTTTTTCTACTTCCCGTTAGCATCGAGCTGATTCAGTGGTGAGGTGAGGAGACTTCGAGTGAGCCACACTTTCCATGCTCCAAGAGAGGGATGTGTGCGACCCATTTGTCGCTTTGGGTTGGTGGGATTCGCAGGT